TGTCGCTACAAGCATGCTTAGTGTGGGGGCTTGCTGAAGAGTCAATGAGTCGATGCAATCAGCTGGTTTTCCTTAGATAGAAAACTTTGAATCAATCTGACTGGATGATCTGGTGAACTGGAAAGTGACCTGAGATGACAGGATGTGAATTGGAGCTATAGAAATACACTGAGTAGAATTAAATGTCTCCAAGTCTCTCTCTCTGGCCTGCCTAAGGGCTTCTTGGTCTTTATGATCATTTTGTTCACTAATGTTCAATTGGGGCTGAATAACAGCCCCTCTGCCTGGAGACGAGCCTTTTTCCACGCACTGCTAATTTTCCTCTTTGCAAGTTTGTGTTTTTATTGTGACGCAGCGATGAGTCGATAAAATACTATCCGACATGCTCACCCACAGCAGAGCATCAAACCACCATGTTTAGTTCAGTTAAACTGGGAGATAAGTCCAGAGGTCAGTGGGCAGATTGTTAGAGGGGTGGGGGAACATTCAGGGCTGCAGAAGGGAGGGAGGGGGAGGGGGGGGCATAATAAAATCAAAGTGTTTACACTCATGTTGGTCTTGTCGCTGCCGGTAGAGGACACGCTCCATCTTTTGGCAGCTTTGGCGTCAACAGGTGGAGACTCTCTATCCTTGTCTGCACTCTGAATCTTCCTGCTGAGGTCCTGAAACATGTCCTGGTGCCGTTTCCGGGTGTGCATTATTTTCTACACGTTACGGACAATAAATAGAATAGACCATCAGTGCTGCTTTCTCTGCACATCACTTCTGAATCAATCTAAAAATAAAAGCTCCTCTTTGGGTATATGTTTAAGAATCTCTGTAGGAAGCAAAAAGACCAGAATTACCTCAAAGTCAAGCTCTGCATAGCGTGATTTTCGTCTCTGAGGGGGAGATACAGAGACAGACAGATTAAAATAGGTCCTTCATATCTGAGGCCTTATGAGTTTAATAGTGAAGCGTCAGTTTAGAAAAGGCCTTTTTTAGCTTAGAAGGGGTGAATCACGAGGGACGATGTTGGTAATTCTGTCCCCGCCGGCGTGAGAGAGCGGCCAATAGATCGGGAGGGAACGACCTTTAGGTCAGCTGTCCCACAGCCTGACCTCCAGCTGCAGCTGCAGCACCTTCTGCCCCGCAGCAGGCAGATGTCTGAGCCACTTTATGCTGATCGGGGGGGCGTCGGTCTGCGCTCCGAGCTCACTAACCTTTATGAAGCAGCTGAAAGCCGAGATGCTTCCTGTGATTCATTGCTTGTTATGAGAGAAAGCAGGCAGCTCTGGATGAACCAGAGTGATGAAGAAATGAAGTGTTGTGACAATAACTGATGATATTTGGGACTGGTTTAATAGTGTTTGGCCTCATATGGTGATGGTGGCTGGGAATCATTTCTCTCTCAGGCTGTGTTGGTTAAACATCACCAGGCACAATCAATTATTCCAGAAAGCAATTAGACTATCTAATCGTTCCTTCAGCTGCCGGTATTAATGATCAGTTCATGGAAAAGAGCAGATGCTGCATCATTCATGGCCGACGCAGGAGAAACAACAACAAAGTTAAATGTTTGGATCATGAGAGGCAGAAAAAAAGGAGAAAATGTGATGAAAAGATGATTTTTACGATGTTTACAGTCTGAATGCCTCCAATAATAACGATAAACTTTAAATGTTGCATCATTGAACCGTTTGCCCGATCAGAACAACAGTTACTGATCCAAGTGGATCAGCTGATGCTTTTAAAACTGACAAACATAGAAAATAATAAAAAAGGAAAAACTGTTTTATTTTCACACATCTGCAATGCAGCAAAACCTGAAATCTAAATGAGTCTTTTTTTTTTTTTGTAGAATTAGCATTTTTTTTCTTGAATTAGGGACATGATAAACTTTGCCAATGGAACAAGATGATTTACATCTAAAAAAAACTATTGCATTGTCTTATTTCAAGTACATATGATCTAATCATCTTATTTTAAAAGTAAAGAAAACTAATTCCATTGGCAAACGTCTCATTTATCTGCTCAAATGAGGAGTAAAAACACTGATTTTAAGAATATTTTGCGTATTTCTTTTTTTGCAGTGTGTGTTTTCCATCACTAGTTAGTGATGATTTGCCTCAGTGTGTTAAGTTACTGTCTGCATGTTTCAATGTTCTGTCTTAGTTCTGGTCCATCAGCACCAGCCAGCTGCCTGACCCAATCCGGAGGTCAAAAAGCAGCCAATCAGCCCACTTCCTGTCAAACACTGACGCCGCTGATTTAGCACCGGGTAGCTAAGCTAAGAGACGCAGAGAACCGGATCATTTCCAGGGCTGGTTCTAGTTCTGACCAGGACTGGGCAATGAATGGCCCCATGATGGCAGTTTAACATAACGCAATTTTCAAATCACAGAGCCCTCTGGGTGGCGGTGGAACATTTAAATTGGGTTTGTTGCCACATAGAAAGGTAGAGAGAGTTGCAGCTACAGATCTGTGAATGTAAGTGAAAGTAAACACTTTTCCATGCAAAGGTTACAGTGAAACTCTGAAACGATAAACTCTGGGCCAGCAAGATATCAAAAACTGAAAGTCTGGGGAGAAACATTGACTAGCTTGGGGTTAATGCAAAGGAAAATCAAAGTAAAACTGCATTATTGGTTCAAACTAATCGTAATTTTGATTTTTTTGGAAAATCGTTCAGCCCTAGTTCTGACTCCTTCTTTTAGCGGTTGACAAAATGTTTGATGGCCAATGTTAGCGCATTCTGTTGCTGTAAAATGCAGCTGAATCTACTTTAAAATAACTTCAAATATAGTAGCAGTCATTCAAAATGGCGCTTCATGATCAAACGGCAGGCGAATGGGAGCCAACTTCCTGCCACTGGAGTAAAGCCCTCCTTCTCCTGGGTCTGCTTCTCTTTTCACAGATCATGACAGAAAGAATATTCCAGTACAAAGATTGATGTTTAAAGCCGGTGTAGGTACCAGATTGACTCGGGGGCCTGCGCCTTTTGATGACGTCATGAGCGTCCGCCATCTTAAATGTGGCAAATCTGCAGTTTCTCAGTCACTTAAACAGTATCAGAGGGACTTTAATCTCTGAATATACTTTGTATTCGTAGTATTTTTGTTTTTGTAATATTACAAGTTTATTTT